ATTCTGTTGGTCCTTCTTGCGCGGAAGTCTCTATGGTTTTGTGTCGACATCATTTCGGATGACTACACTTGTGTGTGTCACTACGACTGCGCCGCTGAACTCTCGACGTGCCTCAGCGCACCGTCACTGTCAGTCGAACACAGAGAATCTCCACCCCCTTTATTTATATGGACACGGAACACGGTAACCTTCCACACAAAATAGTTCCAAACAAGTAACAATCGCGTCAGTGGCATACATCGTACTCAACAGGCTACCTGCTCTTTATTCACCAGAGGCTAATCAACCTAGTCTCTTATTTCTCTCCCGAAACAGTGTCTTCTCCCGCTTGGTGTACCTTAGCCTTCTCCGCTACGTACAATTTTTGTTCATAGCTTGTAATGGAGGCTCTCGCTGGCAACTCGTATTGGAGTCGTTAGATGCAATGCGAATGATTTCAGCTTGAGTCTAGCTGTGGACAATGTTGACAGGCTTGCATGCAGTAGTCATACATTTGGCGATGGCTTCAGCAAATTTGTTCTTCGTCGTGTTATCCATTTTCTTCACTTTGAAATTATCCATAGCGGTCTGTCTTAGACGAGGGGGCGGAGTACTCACATCAGCTGCGTGCTTTGCCATTAAGTGGTATTTCAGACTCGGCGTGCTTTGATGATAGCTCAGTTTACGACTTCAAAACATACAGGTAACTTTGGTCTTGTCAGTGGAACCATCTGGCAACTTTTTAAAAGTAAACTTCCTGTTCATAAACTCTTTAAGTATCTGTTTTCGGTGTCTCACGCTGCCATGGCTGGCCAAACAGACATGGGCGTGGATCTGTGCAGCGCGCTTGTTGTTTTGCTTAGGGGCAAGTTTACCGCTTTGTTAAAACAATAGTTTTAAAATCAAGAAACCAGTAATAATCAAATAATCAGTAACGTAACAAAGTTGCTTTAGCATAGTATTCAATAAAATTTATTTTTAAAATTAAGTAATTTATGTTTCAAATCAAGTAACTTAGTTACTTTTGAAATCAAGTAATCAGTAAAGTAATTTAATTACTTTTAAAATGAAGTAAAGAAAGGTACTTTCTTTAAAAAACAAGTTTACCAGTTAATTTCGAAATCCAGTAATCAGTAAATTCAGCTACTTTTAGAATTAAGTCTTCCCAAAAGTAACTAATTTCCTTTAAATATCAAGTAATCAGTGGAGTAAATCAATTACTCGCAGGAAACCTATCGTCTGCCTTCCGGGACACACCCACCGGACTGTCCCATCAAGAATTTCTCGTCTGGCCTCCACAGACCCATCTTTGATTTTGATTTAAAATTTAGTTTCATATGTCCCGGTGGTCGGCTGGTTAGCGCGTCGACCTCACAGTGCAGAGGTGCAGGGTTTGATTCAGATTCCGGCCTCCCTTTGTGGAATTTGCATGTTCTCACCGGGCCTGAGTGGGTTTTCTCCGGGTACACCGTTTTCCTCCGACATTCCGAAAACATGCTTGGCAGGCTGATTGAACACTCCAAATTGTCCCTAGGGATGAGTGTGAACGCGAATCCTTGTTCGTTTTTGTGTGCCCTGCGATTGGCTGGGAACCGGTTCAGGGTGTCCCTCGCCTACTGCCCGAAGACGGCTGGGATTGGCTCCAGCACCCCCTGTGAACCTTGTGGGGATGAAGCGGATCTGAAAACGGATGGATGGATGGATGAATTTAGTTTCATGTTTTCCTCCTGGTCTTTTTTTTTTGTTCCATAAGGTTATTGTGTCCACCTGTGCAGGTTTTCGGGATCCCGTGTTTCATGTTACCCAATAAGCTCCGTCTATCACTTTGTGTCTCGTCCATGTGTTCCTTGTCTCGTCAGTTTGTTTGTATTTATTTCCTTGTTTTCTTTCAGTCATTGTTCCTTGTCTTTGTCATGTATAACTGCTGTGTGTTTGCTGTACAAGTCAAGCTGGTTTCCTAGTGTTTGTAGTTACTTTGATTCTTCTTGTTTTGAATTTCTCTTGATACACCCTGGACCTCATTTGTCTTGCGATCCTTTAAATTGTATCTCAGACTGTGATTTTGATATTCCCACTGGGAGTTCTCTCACAACTTAGGTTGGGAACCGGGTGGTGCGCCTTGGAAGGCAGGGGAGAAGGGGTGTGATTGGTCGTTCCTTAATGCACTCAGTTGCTGTTGTCCTTTTATGCTTTCAGCTTTTTATGTGAACTTTATTCTGTCATTTACGATCAGTATATAAGCTGGGGTTACTCATTGATATGGCGTCGGTATGTCAAGCCTTCCCCCAGTTAGAGTGCCATCTTTCTCCCATATCATCTGCATTAAGGACTGCTCTCTGTAGTCACTTTGTCTTTTCATAGATAAGGACTTGCAAACCCCTCTACCACAATAAGGTGATGGCTCAGGGAGGGGTGTATGTTAGTAGAAGCACAAATAACAGGCAAAGGCCATCAGCTAAAAAGGGTTCGAGCATTGAGAGGAAGAAAGACAAGTTTTATTATTGAGAACAGTTTTTAATTTCATACCTCATCTGTCTGTGACACCTGTCCGTCAGTCAGAGGCTCTAATTCAGCTGTGGGTGGAGCAGCCAGGATGCTGTAATAAGATTAAATGACTGAGAAACTGAAATCCTAATACTGTAAATTAAAAACAGAAAAATGTAAATAAAACTTCAAGACATGAGCATACGTTTTTTTTTTAATGACGTACTATCACGACAGTCACACGTTGACTACTGAGTGAACTAAATTTCCTGCAGCATTGATTGGGCAAGCAATGTAATGTGATCATCCGCAGCCAGTGATGGCCAAGCGGGCGTGTCATAACTAATTGACATGGTGAGTCGGGTGTGTCTTAACCTCCATGGCAGAGGCTCCGTCGAACCCGAGACCGATTCACCGAAGCCCTCGGGTTCGATCGAACCCAGGTTAAGAGTCACTGTTTTAGATGTTTCTCTTCCCCAACACACTTGATCAGGATTGTTATCAGGAGTTGTCCATCCCTTCTCCAATTAAATTACATTGTCAGGCATGAGATGTTATGAAACATTAATGCTAGATGTTTGAAATCCTTTTTTTAATCGTGTATTCATCATAAGTATTGTTACATCCCATAATAAGTAAGAGTAAAGAAACTAAATAATTTGTTCTTCATTGTTGTTTCTGATTTATCTTCTACCATCCAAGTTGTTGAAAAGAATCATGTTCTTAAAGTAGTGAAGTTCTAAATATTATAATTTCTTTGCATGTGAGTTGTTAGTCTCCTTTAAGAACAGGTGTGCCTCGGAGCGTTGTCCTGTCTGGAGGCACTACAAATAGTCAGATACCAGTTTTAGCTCATTTTAACATAATTACCACGAGTGGGATGGATTTAGTTTGTGTAAATTAGCCAACTCAGTTGACTACCACATTCAGTAAATCAGAAAACCTCACCTTTTCAGAGCTGTGAGCTGGAATTGTCTCACACAGAACTGTAGGAAGCCCTTCAGGTCATTTTTGCTAATACCTCCAATTGGATTAATATCAGCACTGGAGCAGTCATACTTTGTAAAATAACCTGTCAGACTGAGAAGAAAATTAGTCAGGGCCAGTAAATATAGCTCAGAAACTCACCAGCATATTAAATATTTTGGGTGATAACATACAGTATGAACAATACCAGGCACTGGTTTGGCATACTACTTTTTCACCAAAATTTTGCCAAGGCACGAATTTCAGATTGGAAAAAAATTCCACAGCACACAAAAAACGATTTACAAATAGTGGATACACAGGCTAATTATGTACCTTCTGTCATTTAGTGGAAGAGCATTTTATAGCTCTGCCTGTTAATATACGTGGTAGGAATTAAAAAAAATCTTTCAGCAGAAAATATATTTTAGTCCTAAAAAATTCCAATGGATAATTTTGGGTGGCACACCTGATTATCTCTCATGGCACACTAATGTACAACGGCACACTGGTTGGGAATCACGGGGCGAGTGTAAAGCCTCTAGGACAGGGGTGCCCAGAAACTCACCAGCATATTAAATATTTTGGGTGATAACATACAGTATGAACAATACCAGGCACTGGTTTGGCATACTACTTTTTCACCAAAATTTTGCCAAGGCACGAATTTCAGATTGGAAAAAAATTCCACAGCACACCAAAAACGATTTACAAATAGTGGATACACAGGCTAATTATGTACCTTCTGTCATTTAGTGGAAGAGCATTTTATAGCTCTGCCTGTTAATATACGTGGTAGGAATTAAAAAAAATCTTTCAGCAGAAAATATATTTTAGTCCTAAAAAATTCCAATGGATAATTTTGGGTGGCACACCTGATTATCTCTCATGGCACACTAATGTACAATGGCACACTGGTTGGGAATCACGGGACGAGTGTAAAGCCTCTAGGACAGGGGTGCCCAAACTTTTTGGACCGAAGAAAATATTTTGGGTGATAACATACAGTATGAACAATACCAGGCACTGGTTTGGCATACTACTTTTTCACCAAAATTTTGCCAAGGCACGAATTTCAGATTGGAAAAAAATTCCACAGCACACAAAAAACGATTTACAAATAGTGGATACACAGGCTAATTATGTACCTTCTGTCATTTAGTGGAAGAGCATTTTATAGCTCTGCCTGTTAATATACGTGGTAGGAATTAAAAAAAATCTTTCAGCAGAAAATATATTTTAGTCCTAAAAAATTCCAATGGATAATTTTGGGTGGCACACCTGATTATCTCTCATGGCACACTAATGTACAACGGCACACTCTTCCGCTGACGTAGTCACGCGCCACCGTAGGTTAAAGATTTATATGCTTTATTTTATTTTTAAAATCTTTCTTTGGGAAAATGAGACTGATAGGATGATTAGGGTGCAGTGTGCATTAACACAAAATATATTACTAACGTACAAAGACACACAAATGTTTATTTTTTTTTCTCCTCTACACCTTTCGGATCTAATTGGGACGAGTCCTAGATCTACCGGTAGATCAGGATCGACGTAATGGGCACCCCTGCTCTAGGACATATTTAAAGGTGTACTGTAGGTACTTTGTAACATATACAATGTTTGGCAAGTTTTTTTCTGCATTTACTGAGAAGGACTGAGCAGTGATTAAGCGCAGATTTTGACCTTATGTCAGTACCTTGGTCAAGCCATCTGATCGGTCATTAATCTAACATTGCTTCATTAGAATTATGATTATTAATTTGATTGAGGAAACATGAGTACCTGGGAAAAACCAAACAGGCGTGAGAGAAGTTGCAAACGCAAAAAGGCATAGCATTGGTTTGATTCAAGCTTGGGACTTTTCTTAACACCAGACATTTGGGTCTTTCTGAGTGGAGTTTGCATGTCTCCCCGTGCATATGTGAGTTTTTCTTGGGTGCTGTGGTTTCTTCTTCAACTAAAAAGATTTACGGTTAATTTCCAGCCAGCATTATGGCACAGGGTATTGACCCAAGATCTGTGACTGCAGAGTAGCTCAAAGTGGGAATAAGGTGATGACTATGGGCTCATAACTGACAGGGGCCTCAGAAAATTTGCAACATGAAAGCGGTGCGGCCCAAAGATATCTTTTCATGGAGGCCAAAAACCCTGGTGCACTCCTGTTCTCGCTCAACTCAGTTGTTCTGAACTCCACCTCAGGAATGGATTTAATGCAGGCAGAAAAAAAAAAGATCAGAGACTACACAGAATTCTGCAGCATAATCAGTCATTACCTCTCATCTACATTGGCTGAGCCAAGCACCAGTAAGCCACCTGGTTTTAATCGACTCCACAGACTCAGTTGGGCGAACAAGTAAGCCAGGACCATCCTTACTCTCGCCTATGAGCACATTAGATGTACACAAACATTTTGTGTACAGAATAAAAACAAGTGAGTTACAACAAATCATATCTGCTGGTAGAACACTTAATGCAGCGTGAGTGACTGACAAACCTGGACATTCTGCAGCGCCAAGTTTTCCCTGTGGCTTCCTCCATTGGCGCGGAATTGAGGCCACTTCCCAGTCACCAGTGAAAAGATGCCCAGGATGCCTTTTACCGCCATGTCTATATTAATGTTCATGTGTGTGCTGAAAAAGCAAAGAATTCAAAAACAGTTAATTTCCTAAATATAATAGTCAAAATTGTAAATTCATCCTCCTCTTGTTCCTCCTCCTCATCATTCTCTTCCGCTTATCCGGAGTTGGGTCGTGGGACCAGCAGGTAAAGCAGAGAAGACCAGACTTTCATCTCTCTGGCCACTTCATCCAGCCCCTCGTGTGGCAACCCAAGACATTCTTAGGCCAGCCGGGAGACACAGTCTCTCCAGTGTGTCCCCTGTCGTGTTTGGGGCCTCCTCCCAGTGTGGCATGCCCAGAACACCTGACCAGGGAGGAATTCATTTGTCATCCTAACAAGATGCCTGAGGCACCTCAGCTGGCTCCCCTCAATGCGGAGGAGCATCAAATTGCTTAATTTGAGAAGCAGGTTTCTAAGTTTGTGGAACTCAAGCAAGAGTTTTGAATCCATCCATTCATTTTCTGATCCGCTTATCCTCACAAGGGTCACAGGGCGAGCGAGCGCCTACCCCAGTTGTCCTCGGACAGTAGGTGGGAGACACCCTAAACTAGTTGCCAGCCAATCGCAAGGCACACAAACAACCATCCGCCCTCACACTCACACCTAGGGACAATTTCAAGTGTTCCATTAATCTGTCACGCATGTTTGTGGAATATGGGAGGAAACTGGAGTATGCCGATAGAACCCACGCAAGCACAGGGAGAACATGCAAACTCCACACAGGGAGGCCGTAGCTGGAATTGAACCCTGCACCTCTGCACTGTGAGGCCGACGTGCTAACCCAGGGGTCAGGAACCCAGGGGTCAGGAACCTATGGCTCACGAGCCATATACCGCTCTTTTGATGATTGCATCTGGCACGCAGATAAAAAAATATTCTCGCTTGTTTATTAATGCATCCATCGATCGATTTTTCACTGCTCATTTCCTCGTTCGGGCTGCAGTTGGCTCTAGGAGCCATTTTGATTGGATGATACTGGCCAACGTTGCCGTTGCTGTGGAAACAGGTATACGCCCCCTTTTGAATCAACCCGCTCGGCCATTAGCTCAAGGCTAATCCTAAGCGAATAAGATGGTGAAAAGAAAAACAGATGACGAGTTTGGTAGACTTCGGGACGAATGGACCGAAGGATTCGCCTTTGTGGCGAGAACAGGTTCTGCAGTGTGTCTGATTTGCAATGACAAAATACCATCGATGAAACGGTCGAATGCAGAGCGGCACTTTGACACGCCCCATGCTACTTTTGCATCAGAATACTCTGCGAGAGACGGCCGAAAAGAAGCGTGCAAGCTACTGACCAGTGTGCAAGCTAGCCAGCAGTAACTTCGCGCATGGACCCAGCAAGATGACTTTCATTCCGATAGTTTTGCTGGATTGTTAGCAATCGTGAGGAACGGAAAACCATTCACATTGATGGTATTATCACAAAATTATTTTAAAAACTACATTCAGAGTCTTATTATACTGGCATTTTGTTGAAATCACTTTTAAAATAGTTTATATATATACACACACTCTACATACAGTCAAACCTCGGTTCTCGTTCCTAATCCCTTCCAGAAGGCTATTCGAAAACCTAAATTGTTCGAAAACCGAAACCACGCTCTTTTTAAAATAAAAAAAAAACACGCCTGCTCACAATGGAAAGCAACACGAGGAAGCGTCACTTCCTCATCTACCCGAGGAAGCATCACTTCCTCGTGTAAGGAAGGTGAGAGGAGTCAAATGGTACATTCAAGTGCGCTCAGTTTGTTCGAGAACCGAAATTTGTTTGTCATCTGAGGCATAAAAAACTTGAATTTTTTTATGGCTCTCTTAGTCAAAAAGGTTCCCGACCCCTGCGCTAACCATTCGACCACTAGGCCGCAGCAAGAGTTTTATTAAATGATAAAATTATGACAATATAATGAATAAGTATTTGATTTTTTTAAGTGTTCTCCACTTATGCTTGTGGAGGCTCTCAGTCGTACAGGAAAGTTCCATCATAGAAAGGGGTCCGTCAGTTGTCATCTGTACCTGTGGCTAAAAAACAAAAACAAAAAAGGACGTTTCGCTTCTTTCACAGAAGCTTCGTCAGCGGTAGACAACTCTGAAGTCTCCGTGAAGACTCCGGGCATTTGCTCTGCGCTAAAAAGCTGAGCGTGGCCTATTTGAGGACTGGGTGGGGATGGTTAGTCACGTCCCTATGGTGAAGAGGCCCATTGATTTCTAAATTCCCTATCGTTGGGTCTTGATTAGGCCTATTGTTTGGGCTAGGGCTGAATAGCTACTTTCAGTTAGCCTGATCACAATCAATGGTTTTTGTAACAGGGTGGGTTTTTTTTCCTCTTTGAGATAACTTCGGATCATCATGACTCTCATTTTAAGAAAGGTCTGTGACAGAAAAAAAAATGAACAAGATATCAAAAACCTATTTTATCGCCTACATTTGATTTATAAGTTGGTCACCAAGAGGGAAGAACAAGATAAAAAGAGCAACAGAAATTTGATATCCATTCATCCATTTTCTATTCTTCTTTTTATGAGCATGGTGGCGGGTGAGTTGGAGCCTCTCAGAACTGACTTTGAACAAGAGGCGGGGTACACCCTGAACAGGCCAACAGCCAGTCATATGTTCAAATAGACAAACATCCATTCACACTCATATTTGTACGTATGGATAATATCACCTCTTCGTTGAACACATTCATGTTTTTTAGATGCGGAAGGACCCAGAAAAAAAACCTACGCAAACATGGAGAGAAGATGCACACTGAATACCACTCTCTCTCGACTTGGTGTTGGTGAACCGTGAAGGGGGTATCAGATTTAACCTGTCTCCTATTTACAATAACTTGTTGACCACCAAGGGACATAGACATGCTGTTCTCCACTTAGTAAATAAAAATGTATTGTACTGTAATAAAGAATCAACAGTTTTTATTTCTTAAATCCACGTTGTCCATAACAGTACACTTTATTTTCTTGTTGAAAAGCAAAGCTAGTTTGATTAAAACAGCTGTGCTGTGATGTCATTTTAGAAAATAAAATTGATTACAATTTATATAAATGAATTTTTATACATTTTAAAAAAAAATAATTAATCTAAGTTGTCCTTTATTTATTTACTCTACATAGAGCTACAAAAAATAACTTCGGTGTAGTTAAGATTGGCAATGAGAAAAACGTGAAAAAATTGCCCTGCTTTGAGCAGCTGATCCATGTGTCTAGATACACTTTCTTTTCGTGCTCTCTCTCATTTTTTTCACTTTTATTAATGGTGTTCTCTTTCCTCTGTAAGCTCTTAAAACAGAGGGAGTGCTCTCCTGCACCCCCTCCAGGACTCCCTGAAGGGTGGGTCCTTTGAACTGCAGAAAGAGTACCGTGAGGCTAGCCTGCTGCTATTCACGGAGTCATGGCGAACAGCGGTTACTCCGGACAGACGGCGAGTTGGAAGGCTTTCAACTCGTATGAGTCAATCGGACGGCAGGGAGTGTTCTTGCTCATTTTCTTTCACTTTTAACTTTTTTTTTTTTTTAATCAGGAGTGTTCCCGATTACGGGAAACATTCCCATCTCCGGAATTCTTTGAAAAAGAAATTCCTTCACCCAGAATAAAAACCTATGCATGAACATTTTGACTATGATATTACGTTATACCGGAACTTAGGCGGAAGTTCCGGTATCCGTAACCCGGAAGCAGACGTAAGCCCGCAGTAGCTTCAAAACATACACACAACGGAAGACATGACGGAAGAAACATATTCACTTCACCTTTTCCTATCATTGGATCCGAAACGACGACGTGTAAGTGACTTGTTATTGGCGTGCGTTTTATTGTAATTGCGAAAGATTTTAACTTCTCTTTTAAGTTCTCTGCTAACGACTCCGCATCTGTGTGGAATGGCCTGAAAGCAATCACAAACTATACTATACTATAGAATGCCATCCCCCCAAACAGTGAACAATAAGGGTCTTGCTGATGAACTAAACATGTTTTTCTGCCGATTCGAAAAGGACACCCCCATTTCCCACATACATCCACCTCTACCAGAAACTACTCTATCTACCCCCCAACCTCATTTTCTCCCCGACAGATCTACGAACAGGACATGAGACGGCTCTTAAGCCCCGTTCACACGGCACACATTTGGTCCGACGCAGCTCCGAAATATTTTGTTGCGATGTATTTTACACCGGAGCAAATTTTGTGGAGCGTTCACACGTGCAAAGCCGCTGAGCGTGACAACTCCGCTAACTTGCGGTCACACGTGCACTTTCTGCTCCGGACCAAAACGACAGGAATGCGGAAGTAAAACAGGTTCGGGTC